AAGCCATTAGTTTCAAAAGCTTGCTGGAATGAAAGGAATGTGTAGATCTTCAGTTTCAACAGAAAAAACTAAATCAAAAAGGAGAGGAAGAAAATTTTCTGCGACACAAACCAGAAAAATCAACAGCCAAACATGAGTTTGGAAAAGTTACAGCACCAGAGTAACTTTTCAACCTGAGTAAAGCACTGCTAGTGCACACAAGGAAAAAAAAAGTAACAAACCCTTCTTCACTGCTCTGCGTGATTTGCCCTCGTTTGCAACAGTTGATGGTCTTGCAGTTTCTTCTCCTGTCTCTCTCCCGCTGGATTGTTCACTTGCTGTGGAGTCAGCGTCTGATGGCGAAACTCTGCCACAAACATTAAAAAAAACCCAAACCAACATGTAACATAAGTCTGCAAAGGGGCACAGTTCTCACATGCAAAGAATCCTGTGCTAAAGTATTTTGTGAAGACTGCTAATATCTTCCTCTGTTTATAAGTAAATTTATAATAAATTATCATAGTTAGATATTCATTGCCATGATGTTAGTTGCATGTGAAAACTGACTGCAATAGGATTCACATGTGAAAAGATTATTAACTAATCTTTCCTTTAAAATGCACTTCAAGAAAAAAACTCTGCATTCATAAGTAGCAGTTTACTTTTCAGACAGAAAAGAATTATATTAGAAATAAGAAACCCATACAGGTAATTAGTCTAATATTCAGACTTGCTAACTTCCGTGTTCTCTTGCTAACGTTACAAGTCCATGTGAATATTTTCCTGACTAGTTAAACGTAGGCCCATTCAAAAATGCTACTTTTATGTATTTATCCCATGCAGTCATGAGATTCTTAAAAACATTTGTTACCTACAAATTACAATCTCAGTGTTCATAATTTTTGTGGGCGATTACGGGAAAAACAAAGAAATACTGTGATTTTCCCCAACAGAATATTTCAGCTGTAAAATTATTCAGAGAGTATAAAAATAGCAAAAATATAGGGCATACACCACCGCCCAGCTGCCACCAAAGCCTGTCTTTTCATACAGGATCAGCCTTTGTGATAGTGTCTCTAGTGATCATTTTGCCTTGTGAACATTCATATTCTATTCCTGCAGAGAGTTAATCACTGAAAGTGTGCACGTGTCTGTGCATTAACCTTGTTAAGTGCAAGATTTGCTTGGGCTAGATGGATATCTGAACTAGTTACTGAGGCTCTTGGCTAAACATCAACCTGCCTAGAGCACACAGGCTAAGATAACTATACCCAGCCAGACAAGTTCATTGAAAGTTAAACCTACTCGTTGCAGCAGGCAACGTTCCAAATTTAACTCCCCTTTTTCTCCTCCCTGAACAATGCACTGTTAATTGAACTCTGTCTTTCATTCTTTTCTGCAGCACTGTAATACTAATAAGTCACATCCCAATAAAAAAAAAAAAATTAGCAGGGAAAAAAGGAGAACTGGTTCTCAATGAGCTTACAGATCTGCACCATTGCATCTTCTCCTCTTTTCTAAGGTGGAGAGGGTGGGCAGAGCTATCGTCTCCATCACTTTTGTCTTGGTT